GCCAATTAAATCTTGATCGAGTAAACTTAATCAAAACTTAAAAAAGTACCACTAAAATGATGAAAGATAGCTGGTAATGTACTTAATGTACCTACTATTATCAAATATTGTAAGAATATTGTTCTAAACCTATTTTCCTGTCGCATCTTAATGCAATTTGTTTATATATATATATATATATATATATATATATATATATATATATATATTATTTTTTTGTTGGGAAAGTGAAAATCGACACATCAAATTAACTTATTTTAAAGTAAAATGTGGCTTATTTGCAACAAAATAGTCAATTATAATAAGAATAATCACAACTGCGCAAACTTGAGATCTTGGCTAACGTGAATTTATAACTGAAAACCCAAGTAGAAAACAGTCGCAGAACACTTGCGTCAGAACATAGTACCTATATGTCGCAGAACACTTGAGAATTTCGAGTATCTTTAATGACTCTTAACAAATTTTTTAATTACAACTGTTGTGAATTGGTGCGTCTAAGTAATATTTTTAATATTTTTTTCTAATAAAGGAATAAATATAATGGTTACAAAAAATCAAAACAGATTTAAGAATCACAAATTGGATATTCAACCTACAAAAATATTTATAACAATGACATAAGACGAGGAAACATTACTTTTACACGTGACAACGATGTATATTTAAAAACATGTATCTTAAGATGAGTATTTCCAAAATGGGTATTGGCATTTTCAACAAATTTTATTATAACCGCTTCCTGTGATTAGGATCTAAAGAATGTTTCTGGGTGAAAACTTATAATTCACTATCAAAATCGGGCACCACAGTATGGCTTTGCTATTCTGCAATATTTGTAGAATGGACTACCTAAGCTCTGACGTCATAATGGGCGAGGCTTTTAAAAACCTTTTCAAACACTGCCAATTTGCGTACATGTTCCATAAGAAGTTGGAAATATTGGTTTATTTTTAATTGTTCGAAGAATAAATAAAGCGGAGAATACATCTCAGCGACCACGATCACGATCGCGTTCACGATGGCGATGGCGATCTCCGTTTCTGTAAAAAGCTAACACATCGGACCGATAGCGACCTGCGATATCATTGGTCTAAATAATATAGTTGGAAGTATAGTGTATAACATGTGCGATTTACAAGAAGAAGAAGCATTGCTTGTTGCAGTATTGTTGGATGAAGAAAGGCAATTCAATAGAATTCGAAGGTATGTAACATAATTAATTCGGATAAAGAAAGAAATTTAATAAAAGGTACGCGTAGGCGTTCTATTTTTTTCATTTACAAATGCAGATATTTATTCGGTTTCTTTTGCAGGAAAAGAAGAGGTGTTTGGATACATGACGTAACTTGAGGCGCAAACAATAAAGAGAATTTCATAAATTGTAACCAGAACTTTTTATGAAATTTTAAATCGGAAAAAAAAATGATATCACCAAACAACGAACACATTTTAGGAAACCGGTTGATTCTACAGAACGATTAGCTGTTACTTTAAGGTACTACAAAAGTCTGCCAATTTTTTCTTTGCAAATTAATGTTATTTTAAATAACACAGAGTTATAAGTTTCAGTGATAAATAAGATGTAGATAGTAGACATATTTTTTATTTATCAATACGAAATACTTAAAAAAATTATTCGAATATGTAAAATCTAAAAAGAGAGAAAATAATTTTTACAAGAATACTTATATAAAACCAAAGATGTTTATATTTTTTAATATTTAATTATGCACATTACTATGACCACAATCCTCGTACCATTGTGCAGAAGAATGGTTGTTACTAGAATCTTCTAGTCTTGCATTGTAAACATACTGTTTGGTGAAGAGCTGAAGGAATTACTTGTCTCTGGTCGGATTTCTGCTTGCTGAGATAATTCCTCTTCCATTATTAATTTAGCAATCTTATATTTAATGAGCGTCTGACATTGTGGTGATAGTTTTTTAACGCTCGCTGCATACCCGAAACACTAGATCGATTTCGTAAGCACTTTCTTCATCATTACTGTGACGTTTATTTAAAAAGGCTATAACTTTATCAACTGCAGAATGTGGAAATTCTTGCGAAACTTTTCTCTTATTAGAATTAGTTCTCAACTTTTCTACTGGTTTATCTTTGACATTGATCATCTCATTTGACAAATTTTCTTCTGTTAGAGAAGGTTCGTTCTGACTAGTGACTACTTCTTTATTAAAACGTGATAAAATTTAAAGAAACATTTAAAACGATTGGGTATAGCTTTCGGTTAAGATTTTCAACCGTTGAAAATATTGTGGATGAAATATCTGAAGCTATATGGAACCGGTTGCAACCGATTTATATGCCAGAACTAACAAAAGGAATATGGGAGAAATTAATTCTAGGCTTCAAAGATATCTGGCAGTTTCCAAACTGTTTAGGAAGCATAAATGGCAAACATGTGACCATCAGATGTCCCCAGAAGAGTGGATTAAATTACTTCTCTTATTTAAAATTTTTTTCCATTGTTCTTAGGGGGAATGTTGACCCTGAATACAAATTTATTTGTATAGATGTAGGTGGATACGGTAAAAATAGTGACGGTGATATCTTTGAGACATCGGCTATGGGCAGAAAATTTGCAAATGGAACCATGAATATCCTACCCAACAGACCATTGGCTGATGAAAATGAAGAAATTCCGTGTGTATTAATTGGCGATAAAGCTTTTACACTAAGCCCCTACTTAATGAGGCCATTTCAGTATAGGCAAGCACGGAATGACGACAGCAAGGAGAGATTTAATTATCATCTATGCAGAGCCCGACGCGTAGTAGAAAATGCCTTTGGAATATTGGCATATAAATGGCGCCTCTTCTTCAGACCACTAGAAGTTAAAGTTCAAACAGCTATGAAACTTGTGAAGGCTGCATTCGTATTTCACAACTTACTGCGCCCAAGAAACACTGATGGCGGTTGACGAAAAAAGAGCAGTAAACGAAGCTTTTGAAATACGCGAAAAATTTGTTACCTCTTTTAGAAATTTATAATTCCCAACAAATAAAACACAATACTTACCTTTTTAATTCACTACCAATCTGATCCCAAATTTTATTTTTAATACGTACGTTCTTATAATCTGGGTGGAACAATATATTATATTTTTTTACAATTCCAATAAGTTTTTCGATATCCAATTTAATTCGCAAAATTTGCATCGACACGACCAGCGATAAACTGCTGCTTTCTGAACGCTAAACTAATTATATCGCTGCGAGCGCCGTCAGAACGCTGCACAAATTCCTTTGATCGCCAGCAAGTCGCGACAAGTATGTGCTGATACACTTGTTTCAATACGACGAGTTTCAATGCGCCATTTTGAACGCCATCGCGTCGTGATCGCGTAGGTGTGTTTTCCGCTTAAGAACTTTTGGTTATGAACATTCATTCTTTGTGCGATTGGTATTATTTGTTGTTCGTGAATGCCAGGTATTTATCAAAGTAATAAGATATTTACTATGAATGTTCATAATTTAAGGTTATATTAGTGTTTGATTAAAACTTTAATTTTTTAACTGTATTTCAAGGTACTATGCTATTATTTTTACCGGGGTTATTTGAGAATTATTTAATAAATCACTGAATTTATTTACGACGGTAAAAATATTTAAAACATTGTTTCATTTAAGTGCCACTGCTTTTGTCGCCTAAAAGACGAAATATGTTCATTTTCTTTTAGTTTAAATAGTTAATAGTGGTTTTGTTGTGATTACTAAAAAAATTAGTATTACTGGATATCTTCAACAAAATAAACTCAAAAACTATTACTATGACTACTACAACATGCAAAATATATATACATATATATATATATATATATATATATATATATATATATATATATATATATATATGTATATATATATGTATATATATATATATATATATATATATATATATATATATATATATATATATATATATATATATATATTTTAAAAACTCATGATAGCAATTTGACAGAAAGGTTTCCACAGAATGTTATATTACAACTTACTACTAGAAAGTTATATTTATATTACTACTAAAAAACAAATATTTTAAGTCTTTGACAGGATAAAATCAATGGCAACGAAAAAAGGATAAAACATTAATTTAAATATGTTTCAACTTTATAAATAAATTTAATAATTTATTGCTTTATTTTAAAATAACTTCGATAAAAACAACATAAAAGTACCTTGAAATAGAGTAAAAAAATAAAAGTTTTATCCAAAGAATAGCATATCGTTAAAATATGAACATTTATAGTAGATAATGTTTGGAAAGGTTGATCATTTGAATAATGATCTAACTAACTCTAATCTAATAAAAAAAATACCTAGGACTGTATCGTACAAGAAAATGTAAAATTCCTAGTATTTCTAAAATTTTAATTGCAACTTTATTAACTATTTCCGCAGCAAAAAACACATGCCTAAATGTTCAATATATGTGACCATTTGTCAGCGGTTTAATATCTATCGAATCCAGTCATTTGCTTTGTAGATTTCTGTTAATTAAATATTGAATGGACTGCTCATGTAGGTCCATTTCAAACTAGGTGGTAGAAAGAAATGACAGACTTACTCACAATATATTTATTTAGTAAGCGACGACTGGTAATCGACTGGTTTTCTGGTAATCATCAGGTTACCGGTAAATTATAATCTTTAAAACCTAAAAAATTACGTATACCGTAATTTTACAAATTTAAACAAACCTTACATTAGGTACAGTCCAAAAAGTGTCAATATCGTATTAGTTAAAAAGTCTATTTTTGTTCTTGAAAATTCTCGATCCATAATAAAAAATTAATAAACCATAACTGACCAAAACGTGACCTTTTAAACAGTATAATTATTTTTACGAAATTCGATCACTGAGGTGCCAACATCACAGAACTGTCGTAGACCCCACGTTGCTACTGCCACTGGTTTAAAAGTCTTCTACTATTTGATTATGGTAGCGGTGCATTCTATCCCATGCTGTGTTGATTCAAAAGAGCAAGAAGCATCGTTGGCCGCGGTAGTAATGTGCTTACATTCGTAAAGAGCAATTCTTTAACGATATTACCGGCATACGCTGACAGTACCGCAAGTTGTTATGTGTTGTTGATTTCTAGGGAGTTTTGAGAAGGTGATGTGATTTAGTTTTGTTATTGAGATTGCCTTTGAACTTTTAAACAATGACGTTAAGGGAACTAAAAAAGAAAAGGTGGGTGAATTATTTAGATTTTATAATACATTTTGTTTGTCAAAAATGTAAACAATCGATAACAAAATGGAATCAGATTAATAATTTTAAACATATAATAATTTTATTTTAATAAACTATCTTATTATAGTAAGTATAATTAGGACAATGGTGTCTTTTAACGTATATAATTAAAAAATAATAATAATGTCAAATTCCACAGCCAATAAAACAAAAATCATATATCGAGATAAAGTAACTGTGTTAATAATACAGGATCAAAATAAATAGAAAATATTTTAGGAATTATATGTATCACACATATAAATTGAAACAAGTGTTTGATAAAAACAATACGAATAGAACTAAAAGGAAATTCAAAAAGCAATCGGACACTATCAGTAGAAAAAAAAACAAACGAAAAGTAACAAACTTTAAATATACTCTAAACTTTTTGTTTATGCCCTGTTAAAAATTGACATTTTCTGTTCCGCTGAATTTGTTTTTAAATCAATCCCATCCTTCTAACTGCGCGGTGCGGCGGTATTCTAATTTTAATGTTATATTTAGAAGTTTAAAGATTTATATACGAAACGTTTTCAATTACAATGTTGAGGAAACTTTTTGTTTTTTTTTTTCGATAGAATTATCCATACCTATATACATACAAATATTTGTTTAAATATTTATTTATGGAAATATACGTTACATTATTTTTATTATTTACACTATAAACAAACTTTGAGCGTCATTTTCACCAAAAAATAAATACAGAGTGGCTCCTTTTTGATTTGCTATACACTGTTACTCTATGGGTCATTGATTGAATTAGGTGAACTATATCATATTCCGGAATACTCATCCAGATTCTACTTAGGACATACCACAGCCCATATAAGTTTCAGCCTACCTAGACATTTTCGATGGGTGACAAATCAGCTGATCTTGATGGCCACTTCAAAGTCTTTATACCATATTCTTGTATGAACTAAATGGTTTTACGGACAGTATGAGGTCTTGCGTTATCCTGCTTAAATATCCTGGTGTACGTAGGGATCAGAACCGCCCCAACAAAACCTAGATTCATCAGTGAAGCAGACAAAATGCCATTTTCCATTCCAATTTTGACAAGCTCTACACCATTCTAAGGGTCAAACCTGATGCTGCGATGTCAAAGATAACACCAAAAGCAGACGGTAAGCTCTCAGTCCCATTCCAAGTAATATTTGATTAACTGTTCTTCTTAAGATTACCCTTTCTGTAGCTGCAACTATATCATCTCTTACTTGATGTACACTGTTCCGTCTATTTTTGAGAGCAAGAAGTCTAAGGCGGCGCAAATCACGGTCTTGCAATATTCTAATACGTCTAAATCCTCTACGACGCCATTAAGTCTCATCATTGGACCATCTTCTTTAAACTCTGAATGCCTTTGATGGATAGTTTCAACTCTTCGTGGAATTCCCCGTTAACCAAAATCAGCCAATTTCATGCCCAAAATGCATCATTTTTCGAAGTCGCTTAAATGACCAAATTGCCGACGACTGCAAACTCTTGGTATTTTAATATTTTCGGGTAACATGTAACCACATGTCTGTGATAGACCCGTAAACACTATGAACAGTCTTTTCTATACGTTGTTACCGAAAGAAAGTTTATTTTTTAGATGGTCTGGAGAAATATTTCATCGATGTGGTTACAAGATTTAATTCAGGTTCATATCTTACATTAAATCAACAGTTTCTTTAATATCAATTCAAAAAAATGACATAATAAATTCTTAATTGCCTTAATTAATACAATAACAATTTTCAAAATTCCATCATGTTCAGTGTCCGAGCACTTATGTGCCTATTTTTATAGCTAGTTAAAGAAAAAGAAGGCTCTTGTGTAAACAAGATTTTTTTCATAAAATCTTCGTCATGATTAGTGCGTTCCATTATGTACTCACGAAACACCATTCGAGTTTTTTGTAATTTGTGGCAATGGTAGATACTTATTTCTTTATAAAATATTTCGTACAGTTCTAGCACTAATACCAGTTTCTCTTGAAATTAGGGTGCCGTTACAAGAAAAATTTATTTCAGCTAGACTACATACGGCAGTTTCATGCTGTTCTCGTTTTTCATTAACTGTACTAAGTAGCTGGTTGATTTTCATCTTTATCACTATCCGTGCATTTTCTACAATTCTTGATAAAGGCAGTTTTAGCAAATCTAAAAATAATGTTCTGAATTATAGATTTTGTTGGCATAGGGCCTTCGAATGAAAACGAAAACCTACCGATTATATATTCAGCACTAGTTTCAGAATACTACCATTAAATAATTTGAATTTTATGTTCAGTTCTAAAGCAAACGTTATCCTTTTTCTAATATGAAATATCAATTTCTTTATTTTGTTGTTTTGGAAATAAAATGGTACTATTGAAAAAATAATGGTATATTTGACACTTCTGTTATAAAAATTGAACGTCACTTTGACACAACTAGAATTCAATCTTATGGGTGTTAAAAAGAAGCTGGTATGTCGGTACTAATATTATACGATATTCGGTCTTTCGATTTAACTAGGATTAGATTAACATTGTAGTTAGATCTAAATATACAAAAGTATTACACTACAGTTGCGAGGAGTCCTGTTTGTACAACATAAAGAAAATCATCTAGTATCTAAATTACACAAAACGAAATTTATTGATAATAAAAAAGCAAAAGAAGTCAAGATATATAATTCTATTGCTCCACGATTGTATGCTCTACCTAAAATACATAAACCAACTTTATCTATGAGAACAATATTTTCATCTTTATGCCCTCTTAATGGACCAATAGCACAACTCCTCACTGACATCTTACTAATGCCTATAATTTAAACAACAATATTTACATTAAAGATTCATTTGATTTTAGTTCTTTCATTTGATTTACCTTTAGATTTAATCCTGAGTAGTGATGAAAAACATTCGAATGAGATTTCGCAACATACTAATATTGACTTATCACATTTCAACACACTTATCAACTTTGTTTTTGATTCTAATATTTTTATATTTAATGGTGTCTTTTATAAACAAATTTTTGGTAGTCCTATGGAATCTAGTCTTTCGCCCATTTTAAGTAGCTTTGTCATGGATGATGTTATTAGTAATTGTATAAACAATTGCACTTTTTTCATTTCTTTTATTAAAAGATATGTAGATGATTTAGTTTTGGCGCTTCCTACTTCCTAAACACAAAATTCATGAAACAGTTAACATTTTCAACAATCATAATCAATATATACAGTTTACAGTTGAGGAAATGGTAGATAATTATCTACCATTCCTTGACATGATAATTGTAAGAACTACAGACAATATTTTGAAAACTACATGGTTTAGAAAACCCATATTTAGTAATAGATTTATAAGCTATTACTCACATCATCTAAATAAGATGAAAATGAACCTTATAACAGGATTAAAAGAACGTGTTTTAAGACTTTCTCATCCAGATTATATACAAGAAAATCATCAGTTGTTAAAAAATATTTTAATTGAGAATTCTTATCCTCGAGATATGCTACATAGGATGCTTTTTTTAATATAAATAACTTAAAACCATTTTTTGCTAAATCTCAGAAAATTGTATCCAATAATCAGAACATCTAGTATCATTCACTACCTGTATATTATCATTAACACCTAAATTAATACAAACACTAAAGGTTATTGGCAATATAAAAATAGCAACAAAGAACATCAAAACTATTTCATCTTTATATTCCAAAACTAAGTATCCTATAGATAAATGAGGTAAAACAAATGTCGTAGACAGCATTAGTTGTACTCAGTGTGAAGCTTTGTACGTTGGTGAGACCGGAAGGAATCTGTCAAACCATATTATTTCCCACAAAAGTGACTGTAGAATTAAAAAACCATCTTGTGTTTTAGCAGAGCATGTAATCGACAAAAAATTTTGTTAATCAATTATGGATTTTGATATCACTAAAATTTTATCTAATAAAAGTAATAAATTCATAAGGACTTTTTTAGAAATGGTTTGTATTAGCAGAAGTGATAATAATTTACACAAAAGATCAGAAATTCAAAATCTAATCAAAATTTATAATTATATTATTTCTCTATAGTTTATTCATTAAAATATCACATTTTAATTTAATTTTCTGTATACTTGTTACATTTTTTAGACATCTATCAATGATGAATAAATCTTCATTTTTATTACTAAATAAAAAAGAATTTTTTAAACAAAATTTTATTTTTTGGCAATATAATTGTCAAAAATGAAAATTATAAGTCGGCATTCATGACATTGAGGCTTATTTGTAATTGGTCGATATTGTAAATTAGTTATAAATTCAATTATTTTTGTTAAAAAGTTTCTCAAAATACAAAATTTACAAAAACGTTCATTGGATATTTTTAAAATGATTTTTTTTAACATTTTTAGCAATATAGATTTACTAAAAAAACTAATTTTATTTGGCGAGTTAAAATTTATTTTTCTAGTTTCAATTTTTAAGATATTTTGTATTTTTAAGAAGCTCTTGAAAAAGATTGTAAACACAATTGAAAGCTTGACATAAAAAATAGTTTACCAATAGCCCCTTTTATTGACTCCAACCCATCAAAAACATATTTATATATTTTTTCCAAACCAGTCACAAGTACTCTTTTTCTTACTCTAGTAGCGCTAGATATATACATATATAGCAATATATGTATATATCTAGCGTTACTGTCTGACTTGACAATGGCAAGTGCGACCTTGCTGAAACGTCATCAAAATAATAGTTTCCATCAAAACCAAAATTATTCAACGCTAAGCCAAACCCGGAAAACTACAGAAAGCATATGTTTGTTCCTAAACTTATACACATTTTAGAATCTTAACAAAGGCAAGGGTTTCCTGTAGAAACGTTGATTTCAATGGACAATAAAATCTAGTTTCAAATTTGATATCACTTATACCTCTACTCAAGAAACTCTAATTTTATATTAAATATAACATGATATA